AGTAGGTCAGGAGCGCAAAATTTGCAAGCTTCAACGATCTATTTATGGCTTAAAGCAATCATCCAGATAGTAGAATCTGAGATTTCATCGATCCATTGTTTCTAATGGGTTTACGATGATCGATGAAGATCACTGTGTGTACGTCAAACGGTCCAAGGACATTTTTTTGATATTGTCATTATATGTGGATGACATATTATTGGCTGGAAATGACAAGGAGATGATTGTCTCCACTGAAAAGTGGTTGTTCTTTACATTTGAGATAAAAGACATGGGTGAAGCGAGCTATGTGCTTGGTGTTAAGATCCTTAGGGATCGCTCTAGAAAACTTCTCAGTTTGTCTTAATAGACTTACGTTAAGACTATCCTAGAGCGATTCCAGATGCAGAGCTACAAACCCATTGACACTTATGTTACGAAAGGCGAGAGTCTAAGCATTGATATGGGTCCTAAGACTCCAGAAGAAAAAGAAAAGATGGCCCGTGTACCTTACTCGAATGTTGTTGGAGGCTTGATGAATGCTATGATGTGTACACACCCTGACATTTGTTATGCAGTCGCATTGGTGAGTCATTACCAATCCAACCAAGGACCAGCTCATTGGAAAGCAGTTAAGAGGATGTTACAATATCTTAGAGGGACTGCAGATTACACACTTTGCTACCAAAGTTCAGATCTATGTCTAGTTGGCTATTGTGATGCTGATTAGGGAGGAGACTTAGATAAGTGTAAGTCCACTTCAGGATATGCTTTCCTGCTTAACGATGGTGCTATTTCTTGGATCAGTAAGAAGTAATCCTGTATCGCCTTATCAACTATGGAGGCTGGGTTTGTGGCTTGTTCATCTGTTATTCAGGAGGCCATTTAGTTGAGGAGGTTCCTTAAGCATTTGGATGTAGTCACACACACTTGAGACCCAATGACTATCCATTGTGACAGGATGGCTGCACTCGGTTACGCTAAGGATCCTAAGTACCACGGGAGAACCAAACACATTGATATAAGGTTTAACTTTATCAAAGACATTGTGGCGCAAAAAGAAGTGATCCTGGAGCACATCCCTACGAGTCGCATGGTTGCGGACCTTTTGACTAAGCCCATTGCTAGAGATGTTTATCTTACTCATGTTAGGGCTTTAAGACTACGTAGGTGGTGATATATGTGTATTCAATTGAACTCTTATTTTTTAGGGATTTATGCCATAAGTATTCATATTTGTTTCGATTACACATTTATGTTTACTACTTTTTGCCATGGTTTATGAATTAGCAGACACGGAATAAATAAATTTGATGTTAGCAGGCAAGATTGGCTCACTCACACAAGCAATCGCCCTTAGCGCTAGGTAACGAGCAAGGATGAGACTAGTGGCTTATTATATTTAGAGTTAAAAGAGAGGCTAAAATTATCCACTAACTATGTCGCCTTGGTTGGAGCCAAGATGAGGTCTTGTTAGAGACCATCCATGGATATGAGTACCCATTTTTCCATGATATGCCTGATATGGATAGCTAGATGCGAGATCTCATTTGATGCCTGAGAGGCGAGCAAATAAAGAATTTGAGTTAGACACTAGGAAGCGACTTGTGCGCTTAAGAGCGACTAGACTAAGATCTGTACGATGTATGAGTTTAACATCACTCTTTGGAAAAGTTACTCCACTGTAGCATGCATTCATACTGCATGTTCTTATCGACCCGTTAGCGAGGTGAGAGAATGGATCCCTACTTCCTCACCGTGTGAGTTCTAAAGGTCATTTTTCCAATGACTTTACTTTGTGCCTTTTGTGACCTTTGACTATGTCATAAGATGAGGAGTTGATGTTTGGCTACTTTGGTATGTTGTCGGCGATCATGTATGATTTAGTTTTAAGGGACATTACTGGAAAAACGGTCAATTCCAAGTTAAATGATATGAGGGTGAAAGAAATATCATCTAGTTCTACATCTCTCTATATTCACTGTCAACAACTCACATCACTCTGAATGGGATACTGATTGAGTGTGAATATAATGCAGGACCTAGGAGGGTCAAACATGCTCTCTGAGGGATTAGAGATGTTTTGAGCTGATGTAACTAGATGGGTCTAGGTACATGAGACACTATTTCTATTCTTTTTGGGTTGATGTCTCTATGCTGGCTCGTTTTGAGTTTTTAGTATAAAGCTCCCATATACAAGTGTTCTCAGCGGTCGCACAGTTCATTGGCTAGTATGAGATTGTTCAATATTTTGGAAGATTAAGATAGAGATGTGGCAGTGCCATGCCAACTCATGTGCGAGTGGGAGATGTTGGAAATTGGGTCAGGTATTGGACCCGGATTTGGGTGCCCATGTGGCATGACCCATTGCCCATTCAAATTACCCATGTAATTTGAATTTGAATTTCTAATCATCCTATTTGTTAGGATAACTCACTATCTAGCTACATCTATCCTATCCTATTAGGAGATATGGATAGATGGTTATATATCTGATCTATATATATTATATTAGATACATTAGTGTGGTACCCATAAATTTTTCCCATACTCTCTCTCTCTAACTCTCTCCCATCAAAGAACGATAAATCCTTTGCACTGTGACTAGACTGGGTAATACTCATACTGTGGTATCACTCTATTGCTAGGTATTTTGTTCGTAGCTGTGAACCACGTGATTTACCCACAAAATTCTTCGTTTCGGATTCATTCACATAAGGTATGTCGAATATTTGTTTATCCTCTGCGTTATATATATATATCCAACAGTTTGTGTTTTGAAATCAGATTTTGAGGGGGGGAAAAAAAGTACAACAACATGTTTGGTTGGGTTTTTTTTGAAATATTCTCTGTAAAACAAGTTTTCAACTTTGTTCTCAAGAGAATCACTCAGACTCACATTTATCTTGTTCCCAAGAGAATCCACTCACCTTTATCTTCTGTCCTTTACTTCTCTCTCTCACTTTTACCTTTCTCTCACCTACATTACTCTGTTAGAAAATTTTGCTCACCAATCCAACAGCTCTCTCTCTCTTTGAAGGAAGACGATTGAGACCCATAGGGCAAGACACCTACCTCAATGGTTTTTCCAAGAGACCCACTTCTCTCAAAGGTTCTTGTGGGTAGACAACTATGATGGCAGGGTACAGAAAACCTGGTCAAGTGCCTCGTATTGGCAAGAAGTGGTTGTTTTGGACTTGTAGTAGATGCAACGCATTTCTTTCTTTTTTTTTTACTATTATCATCTTTGTATTGGTACTTTTTATTATGGGTGTACTTAAGTAAGACGATTGTAAGCATGGTTGCAAACAATGGTTGTACTTGAATTTCTATTATGTTAATTATTATATGGGTACCTTTTATCTGCTAGTTTTTTTTTTTTTTTTGATAAACCATGTGGTACTTATTATATGGGCCAAGATTGTATTTGGAAAAATATGTTAATTACATTTAAAATATGCTTTCAATAAATATGAAAATCATGTAAAAAAAATGAAACAAAAAAAATATATATTACGTATAAAAATGGCAATTTTTTCATTTTTCCAGATTGTTTTTTTATTTTTATTTTTTTTGAGGGGGGGGGTTTCCTACCAATATTGAACGATTATTGTAATTGGACAAATATGTTAATTACATAAAATATAGCACTATTTCATTTGGAAAAATATGTTAATTACACATAAAATATGAAAATGATGTATTAAAAATGGAAAAATCCAATTATGCATAAAAGTGGAATTTTTTTTTTTCATTTTTTGAAGATTTTTTTTTTAAATTCAAGGTGTTTTAATTTATTTTCCTACAAAAATCAAACCAAACAGATTTTTGAGGCTTTTTTTTCAAAATGTGTTTGCAAACATGTTTCAAAACTTATCCTGGAAAAAGTCAAACCAAATACATTTTCCAGAGGTTTTTTTTTTTTTTGAAAATTCGTTTGGTTTGATTACTCTCAAAAATGTATTTGTAGAGCATATTACAAAAATCTCTCTCTCAAATCCAAACCAAACAAGGCCGTTGTTTTCCATGACTCGAACCTATGACCATCAGGTCATCAAGGAGTAGCTTTACCACTACGCCAAGCTTGCCAGTTCGCTTCTTGAAAATATATGATCAGATTTTAGACCTACTCTAGCCTAGTTATAAGGTGAAGAAAAAGGGGATCATTCCAATGCTTCACGTAGGGTTTGAATTTACAACCTTCATTATGGAGTAAATAACACATTTGTAACACTTGTTTCTATATTTGAAAACAAAATAGAAAACGAAAGATCACACGTAATCTTGCTCATCTACAGTTGACAAAGGATATCAATACATAAAGGGCATGTTTGATTGGGTGGATTAAAGCATGGGATTGGGATTATTTATCCGTGAGCCCAATTATCCTATGTTTGTTTTAACATTTTGGTTTAGCATAATTAATCCAATGGATGATTAATCCAACAAATTTGTAGGATTATTAGTAATGGGGTAGGAGTGGGATTATTAATCCAATGGATATTAATCCAATTGGATAGTGAATACCACACTAGTTTAATAGGATTATTAATACTTCACTATTAGTTTTGTGAATCAAACATGACCAAAACGCACTGCAAAACAAATGACTAGGAAATGAGTTTAGTTGAGACAAATAGTAGGTAAGCTGTTTAATATGACTTGAAAATTTAACGAGTTTCAAAATTTATTTTAATTTGAATTTTTGTACTTTCCGGGTCAATCTTAAATGAATTTTAATCGAATTGAGTTCAAGTATCTTGATTTTTATAGTACATATTAACTAATCGAGCTGAGTAGCAAGTTTAGCTTAAAAAACATAACAAGTTGTAAAAATATGTTCAAATTTGATTTATTTATATTACAAACCAATTTTTAATGAACTTTTAATGAACCAAACATGAATTGAGCTTGAATAGACTCGATAAACCAAGGACGGCTTATGAACACCTAAAAACAAAAAGTTTTGAGATTCTTTGTTTTTTTAATCACTAAAGAAGAAAATAAGGGGTTTGAACAAGTTGTACAAGAGAACACAACCCACAACTTTATTGTGAATAAGACATTCAAAACAGAAGAATACCACAACATATACAAACTTACTTTTGACAACAGTACCAGCATCCGGAAAAATGGGAGAACAGAAAATCAAGCTAAAAAAGGATAGGCTTCTTGGCTATCTGAACTCTTATCAACACACGCTATGTGAACACCATACACACAATGACTATATATTTTCAATGAAGAATAAAAGTTGGAGGACTATATATGCTGGTTTAACAGGGCTAATTTCAAGTGCTGTGATCAGGATCGAGTGAATAAGGCACCGAACACCTCTTAACTATCATAGCCATGTACTTGCCCTGATGTTCCGCAAGGGCCAGCTCAGTTTCGCTTGGTTCCCTGGTGCCATCCCCAGAGAAAACTCCTGCACCGTAAGGCGAGCCTCCTCTGATAGAATCCATTTTAAACATTCCGGCTCCAAAGGTGTATCCAATTGGCACATAGAGCATACCATGGTGGGCTAATTGGGTGATTGCTGTCCAACTGCAACAGGTAAATCAAACATAAGTTAAGAGATGGCAATGATCACTCAAATGGTATTGATTACCAGAACAGCAACTTAAGATCTTATCCAAATCTCCCTCAAAGAGAAAGCATTTAAAAATAAAAAATAAAAATCCCACAAACATCATAAATAGGCAACTAACTTTTGAAGTATGCATCTTCAATTTTTCATTTTTCAATTTTTATTTTTGAATATTATTACAAATTTACGTAATATCAGGAAAATAAGAAGAGGATGTGGCTCAAGAATCTAGTGACTTTTGGTAAGGGGTGTATATATATATATTCCTGGGGTTCAGTTGTATCTATCAGAAATTGGTGATGGAACTCAGGGATTTCTTTCTAATTCAAGAAAAAGCATAAATAGTGCTTAGAAATAAAGCAATCAAATGAATTGCCAAAGGTTAAAGGTGGAAAAAACTTTTGAAATCTCTATGCTTATCAAGGGGTTGATACTCATACTACCCAATGGAGTTCTGCAGTTCAACTGAGATTCCCCTTAAACTGTGTTTGGAACAAGGATTTGAGGGAAACAAAATGGGAAGAGAAAAATAAAAATTAGCTTATATTTCATTCATTTTTCCTTTCATGGGAAGAGAAAAATAAAAATTAGCTTATATTTCATTCATTTTTCCTTTCCCTCTACAAATCACTGCTCAAATCCTTGATCCAAACACATCATTAGAGATCTGATTGGTGGTTGTAGGGTAACGAGTATAGGTGTATAGGTAGGGAGATGTCTTCATACTTATGCTAAATCAAGCCAACTTTGAATCTTAAGCTAAGGGGCATTGACCGTGCTTAACATGCGAATGAGGTCTCCGACGCAAAGTCTACTTCATGTATAGATTTGGAAAATATTCCTGAATATGAATTTATTTCCTTAGAAAATTGCACTTCAGCACCAAGGCATTTAAACACCTCGTAATGCTTTTAAAGGTGAAACCAGTATGACCAATTATTCAATTTTTACTTGTCATTATTTTTTTTTATAGAGAAGTAATTCTGCACACATCTTGTGAGTTCCTTAGCTTACACACTCAGGGACTAGAATGTAAAACTAATAACAAAGGTGGCATTTGGTTATACTTCAAATTTGAGGACTCCATGTGTCCTTTTCTTCCCATTCGGAAATATCTAATGAAAGGGTTTCATATTGGCTCTCCAATAACAATATTATGCCTTTCGTTAGGGTTTGGGATTGGTTTTAAGAAATCAAGACTTCATACACAAACTTCATTTTTCAATTTTTTCCTCCCTTCTCTACTAAAACATTTTCCTTCTAAAACCTGTTTTCATCACAATAGTACAGAGAAAGAGAGGGAAGGTTACTTACTCGTAAGCTGTCTCTTAAACGTTAACATGGTTACTAACATGGTTACCTACATGGGCATTGGTGTTTGAAGATGAACAATTTCGAAAAGGACAACCTCCACAATTAATGCCATGTGACTAGGATAAGAAAGAGTGATGTGCATGTATTTGTATTTGTATGTCATAGGTAGTTAAGGAATGACCTTAATCGTTGCTTTCTTTATGCGAACATAGTTCTTGGAGAATGTAGTAAGATGATTTCTATGGAAGTTCATGGTTGGAGAAGGGGAAAAAAACCCCTTCAAATTTCAGCAAGTGGTATTAAGAACCAATAAATGTAATAAGAAGGTTAATACAGTTCCAAATTATAAATCAGTACTGCCACAAGATGGTTAATATGCAACAAAGTGAATGCCAATTCTCATGCAGCAGATATACCTGGCAGCATTTGTGGAAGAAGCCTCCTGTACAAATATTTAGAGCCCCTACATTCTGATACTTGATATCATGGGCTAGCTGTTAAATGTTCATATCTAACATCTATTCTACTCAACATAGCAATGTATCTGGAATTTCTAATTATAAATAGAAAGACAAAAATAACTCTTAAAAATGACTCCTAATAGAACTCAAACTACTCTTACAGCTCCCCAATTATGTCTCTGAACATTGAAAAGTGAGCAAAGGACGCCGCATCGACGCCTGGGTGTGGTGAAAAACGGGCAAAGGTTGCCGCGTTTTTCTAGACGAGCACAGATAAAGAAGCTAGACCAAAACTATAGGTTTAGGGTAGCCACATGCAACGTAGGAACTTTAATTGGTAAGATTATGGAATTGGTAGATGTCATGATTAGGAGGAGAGTTAGTATAGCTTACGTACAAGAAACTAAGAGGACGGGTGAAAAAGCTAGAGAAATAAAAGATACCGATTTTAAACTATATTATAGTGGCAAGGATAGATACAGGAATGGGGTAGGAATAATAGTAAGGGTCGTGCAGAAAATGTAAGTGCGGTCATTAGGAAAGGTGATAGGATTATGTTCGTTAAATTAGTTATTAGAGAGAATATAGTGAACGTTATTAGTGCATACGCCCCCCAAGTAGGATTAGATGATCAGACTAACAGAAATTTTTGGAATCAAATGGATGAGGTATTACAGGAGATACCTGTAACAGAGAACCTAGTTATAGGTGGAGATTTCCACGGCCATGTAGGAATCGATAAACTAGGTTATTAGAAGGTGCATGGTGGGTGTAGTTTTCGTGATAGAAATGAGGCTGGAGAAAATATTTTAGATTTTGTTTTGGCTTCTGACCTAGTAGTGGCCAATACTATGTGTAAGAAGAGAAAGGAACATTTGATAACCTTTAAGAGTGGGTCAATTAGGAGCTAAATAGATTACTTTCTAGTAAGAAAAGTGGACCATCTAAAATACAGTGACTGTAAGGTGATTCTTGGAGAGAGACTGACATCTCAACATAGGATCTTAGATTTATGCTTTAAAGGGAATACCAAGCTAGGAAGGATAGTGGGCGTCGTAGAACGAGATGGTGAGACCTAACAGGAGATAAATTATAAATATTTAAGAATAGAATAGATATAGAAGGTACTTAAAATTTGAAAGATGATGCTAACACTATGTTGAACTCGATGGTCAATTGTACGAGGAGAATCTCAAGGGAAGTCCTTGGACAGTCGAAAAGAAAGGAAGCCAACTCTAAGGAAACTTGGTAGTGGAGGAAGGAGGTTCAAGAGGTAGTAAAGATGAAAAAGAGTGCTTTAAAAAGTTGCAAAATGATAGAACTGAGGAAAACCTTAAGAGCTACAAATTGGCTAATAAGGAGGTCAAAAAAGTAGTAAGATAGGCTAAGTTGAAAACTTATGATGACCTATACACTAGACTAGATAGTAAGGAGAGAGAGAAGAGAATATACAAACTTGCGCAGATAAGAGAAAGGAAAATAAGAGATTTTAATCAAGTTAAGTTCATCAAGGGTGAGGACTCTAAGGTGTTGGTAAAGGATGAAGAGATTAAGGCGAGGTGGAAGAACTATTTTGAGAAGTTGTTAAATGAGAAACATGGAGGAAGGTCAAAAAGGGAGAAAGTAGCCAGTAATAAGAAAAACCAAGGCTACAGGTTCTATCGCACAATTAGGAACTTTGAAGTCAAGACTATGAAGCATGGACACGGCAAAATTAGCGCTGTGGCGGTGTCAGACACGGGGACACGTACAGGACACGCCTTAATTTATTTATTTTTTTTATTTTATTTTTTTTGTATAGGACACACCGGGGACACGTGTGTCCATATCTGGACACGACATGAGACACGGCGAGGAGAGAGAGTGTGAAGGAAGAGAGTGAAAAGACAAACCTTCGACTCTAATCGTCGAACAACCAGTTGACTCAAACCATCAATCGAACCATCGAACCATCAATCTCGTCTCGCTCGCATCGAACCATCGATCTCGTCTCACATCGAACCATTGAACCATGTCTTGCTTGCGCCGTCTTCTCTCTCTCTCTCGCTCGCGTCTCTGTCTCTCTCTCTCTCGCCCTCTCTATCCCTACGCTTTCTTATCTCTTATATATATATATATATATATAAGTCTGTATAAGATAATATTAATAAAATCATATTATTTTATAAGTATATAACATAATATATACGACTTACACATATTAATAAAAAAAACACATGTATATAAAATAAAATAAAAAATCACCAAAAACACATTATTTAAAAAAATAAATAAATAAATAAAATAATTAATGTAGATTAAAATAAAAATATTTATAAAATTAAAAAAAAATTACTGTGTCCCCTGCCGTGTCCGTGTCCCCATTTTTTAGAAATTGCCGTGTTCCGTGTCCGTGTCCATACTTTATAGAGTGGAGATTTCACTTAAGAAGATGAAATCGAATAAAGCTTAGGATCCGATGATATTCCTATTGAAGCTTGGAAATGTTTGGGTAAAAAATGGGTTATTTGGTTGACTAGGTTACTTAGCAAGATTTTGTTGACTAGGAAAAGGCCAGAGGAGTGAAAGAAGAGTATTTTAGTGCCAATCTATAAGAATAAAGGAGATGTCTAGAATTACAACAACTATAGAGGATTCAAGCTAATGTGTCACATAATGAAAGTGTGAGAGAGAGTGATGAAACGTCAATTGCGAGATATAACATACATGTCAGAGAATCAATTTGGATTTATGCCGGGTAAGTCAACAATGGAAACAATCTATCTTTTGAGGAGAGTAACAGAAAAGTATAGAAAAAGAAAAAAGAAGAGACATTCATATGATTTTTATCAATCTTGAGAAAACATATGATAGAGTGTCGGGATATAATCTGGTGAGTGTTAGAGAAGAAAGGGGTTACAAAAGGGTACATTGATGTGATTAGGGGCATGTATGAAGGTATGGTGACCATTATTAGATCGCCCGCTAAAGAGACAAATGAACTTCCAATTACTGTGGGGTTTACACCAAGGATCAACCTTAAATCCTAATTTTTTTGCTTTAGTTATGGATGAGTTGAGATATATTCACGATGATGTGCCATGGTATATACTTTTTGTAGATGATATCGTGTTAATAGATGAGACTAGAGAAGGACTTAACACTAAGTTGGAGACTTTGAGAGAAGCACTTGAATTTAAAAGACTTAGGATAAACAGAACTAAGACAAAGTACATGGAGTGTAATTTTAGTAACAGTAACAATGAGAGGAGAAGTGAAGATTGAGAACCAAAAACTACCTAAGAGTAAACATTTTCGTTATTTATGATCGATTATCATAACGGTAATGGTTGGGGAGATTGGTGCGGATGTGGTCCATAGAATTAAAGCAAGGTGGTTTAGGTGGATGAGTGCATCTGGGGTACTGTGTGATAAACAAATACCCATTAAACTAAAAGGAAAGTTCTATAAAACGGCTATTAGACTAGCGATATTGTATGGGACGGAATGTTGGACAACTAAGAAACAACATATAAATAAAATGAGTGTTGTTAAGATGAGGATGCTAAGGTAGATGTGTGACAAGACTAGAAAAGACAGAATTAGAAATAAGTATATTCATGAATGGGCAGAAGTAGCACGAATAGAAGATAAGTTGAGAGAATAAATTGAGATAATTTAGTCATCTACAACGGATATCAACAGAGACAGTAGTAAAGAGATGTGATACAGTAACGGTAGATAGAAGTGTTTGGAGAAAGGGCAGACCTAGATTGATGTGGGTGAGTATAGTAAATAGAGATATAAATCTCCTTAATTTGATTAACAAATGGCCGTTGATAGAATCGAGTGGAAAAGAAGGATTCATATAGCCGGCACCATCACAATATCAAATAGTTCCATACCTTGAGCGAATTTCGACATATTTTTCTGTAACCTATAACAATTCATAGCCTGAAACAACCTAGGCATAGCCTTAGTGATGCCAAAAATATGGGGAAAAAAATATTCAACAATATATTTCAGAAATGACAGCATCAATTCAGATATCAACAAGGGACTAATTTGGATTGATCCTAGAGAAGTATCTAGTAAAGGAGTACACGAATGAGGAGACACAGGTGGTGGGAGTCACAGTAAAGGGTTTTAAACCCTAATGAAATGGTTTTGAACTCTCTGTCTCTCTAGAAAAGACACGAGTGCTTGATACCACCTTTTGCTTCTGTTATATCCCTCATTTCTGGTCCCAATTTGCAAAATACTGGTGATCTAAGTGACAGCTTTCTAGGAAACTCTCTACATGAAAGTATCAAACCATACATCTTCTAGTTTAACTAGATAGGTAGCATCTAAGAAGCACAGACACAAACACTAGTACAGATACAGGACACGGTGATTTTGAAAACATTAGGACACAGTGATTTTGAAAAAATTAGGATATGGACATTGCAGGGATTCAAATTTTTATTTTTATTTTTCCTCATATTTTTGTTTTCTATGTATATGAATATCAATTTAGGGTATAACGATATAAGAGGTATCAATGTATATGTAGGTATATTTTTTTCTTTTTCCTCTTTTTTTGTTTTCATATATTTTATTTTGATCCCAAATCATCTTTCTAAAATTATAAAAAATAAAATCACAAAGGTGTTATAAGGTGTGTCCAAACATAGGGCACACATGTCTGTAAAGTGTATTGCAAAAAAACAAAAAAATCATAATAGCAATAATAGCAATTAAAAAAATTGACACACCACGCAGCCTGTCTAACACATGGACATGCGTGTCCCCAGCGAGTCGGTTTCCCATATGTATCCGACACCTATATGGCACCCATTTTGAAGTGTCGGTACTTCATAGGGTAGCATCTTGTATACTTCCTCGTAGATTCCACACCATGAGTAGATGCTGTCACTAATTTATCATAAATACCACCTAATATGAAAAGCCAACAACACACCAAAATAGTAAACGAGTCACATAGTTACTTGTATGAAAAATTAATACATGAATTTGATAGATACTTATACAGATTACCGTAGTAGAATGATTGACACCACGAAATTGACAATTCCAAATTACCAATCAATAGCAATGTTAAATTGTAACTGACTTACGCAGTAGTCTCTTGCCCGCCTCCCTGTGTGCCGGTACTCACAAAGAACCCTGCAGGCACTCCTGCAAGCTTCTGCTCCTTCCACAACTGCCCCGTTGAATCAAAAAATGCCTTCATTTGTGCGGACATACACCCATACCTAGTTGGGAATCCAAACAACAACCCATCAGCCTCCACCAACTGCTCAGCCGATATCACTGGAACCTCATCCCCCTTAGGGGGCACCTTCATTTGATCCAAAACCTCAGGTGACAATGTTTCCGGAACCCGATATAAAACCCCTTCAACCCCATCAATCCCATCAATCCCTCTCTTCATTCTCCTTGCCAAACTCTCCACATGCCCATACATTGAATAGAACACAATAAATACTCTCAAATTCGTTTCCACTGCTTGCAAAGCCCCATCTTGAAGTGGAACTCTTGCATCAGTGCTAGGGCTTTGACCCTCAATTTGGACTGACCCATCAACTACTGGGTTTGGCTCATCATGATCAGATTCACCCAAAGGTGACCTTTTCTTGCTGGGTACACACCCTCCTCCTTTACCCATAAAAGGTCACCTATTTCTTCAATTAAAGATTGACCCTTTCTTTTCTTTTCTTTTCTTTTTCTTTTTTCTTGGTCAATCTCACAAACAGATTGTGTGCAGTACAGAATTGCACAAAAAGCTCTTACTTAACAACAATTTTAGGAGATGACCCACTTATCTCTCTGTGTAATGTTTCAACCGATTGATTTTCAATGGAAAAAAGATGGGTTTTGATTAAAAAGTGTGAAGGCCTCAACGTCTTGCAAAACGCAACTCTGCTGAGGTGAAACAGGGCAGGCCAGAGTAAATTGTGAGTTGTTAAGAAGAAGAACAATCTGAGACCAGTGAACACCGAACCTCACATGGAATCTTCGCTGGCAGTTGTTGTCATAAACTGGACGAGAGAATTACAGGAATTTTCTGACCAAACAAAAATAAAATATAGAAATTTAAAATTGTCATGTCTTTGTTAGAGAAGTTGTTTTCATGAAACTCCTCGTAATTATATAATTTACAAATGACTGCCTTCCATGTGTAAGGACCGAGTAGCAACTATTTTACGGTAGTTTGGGTTTATAAAAAATAAAATAAAATAAAATAAAAATAAAAATAAATTGAATTTTAAAAAAAGGTTTATTGAATTTCATTTTAATGATTTTAATTTGTTAATTTTTAAAAATTTAATGTTCAAGTTTTTTAGGATATATTATACTTTACTTCTTTAAATTTGATTTTTTTCTCATTTTAATTTTGAAGTTTTTTCTCATTTGACACCCTATGTTTTAATTTTTTTCAATTTACTCATAAAATTAATTTATATATTATATATAATTCACACGTTTGATACAAATCTGACTCTTAATATACTAATGATAAATTCGTCTTGTGACCATCTCTATTTATGACTTTCAACATAAAAATTATGTTAATCTAAAAAAAATTATTTTCTTTTTATGATGTGGGTAGATGTAGATTTCTTTGCAAAAATGGTGCGTCAATAAAATCATGATTGAGAGGGAGAAAAAAAAATTATGTGCATTTTTAAATTTATTTAATAAAGTTTGCTTTTTTCTTTTTTTCTTTTTTTTTTTTCCTTTAACTTTGAAATGTAACTTTCAAAACATGTTCGCTCTCATGTCCATAATTAAAAGTCTAGCACCTGCCCCGCACCCCTTTTTGCCTAGTAAATAAATAAATAAAATTTATTTTTAAAATAACATATTTCATCCACCATAAATATATACATAATTTTTTTTAGGATTTGAGGGGTAAATAGCAAATTGCCCGGATCACAAGTAAATATGGTTTAAAAGTATTTGGTTTGCAATATTAATATATAAGTTGTTAGGGCTTTTGAGTTCTTTTCTACTCATTAAATTGATTGTTATAAAGTAAATATTAAGGGTTGGTTTGGGATGTCCTAAAAAAGTACACTTTTTGTCTTTTTACGAAAAGATGTGCAGAAAAGTAGAGAGGTGATGTGATGGAAAAAAGATAAAAAGATAAAAAGATAGATTATATAGGTTATGCCAAACGAGGCCTAAGTATAATTGCGATAATACGTCATAGTCACATTAATGAATAAGAAATTTTATATTAGTTTATGAGGTTAACAATTTATTCTATATTTGAGATGTCATCTCTATCAGTGCTGTATAAATAGTATTACAAAGGCCTCATGTCCACCCGCCGCTTAGTTGTGCCCTTCCCAACAACAATTGTTTGCCTTTGGATACAAAATGGTAAAGACATTGTGCCAACAATATGGTTAATTTATTAAGAGATACGAAGTGTCCACTTAATTGCATTTGTGTTACTTTATTAATCAATAACACTATTATACAATTTTTATTTTTTTTTGTTGCTATTATATATTTGTGGATATGTATTATTGAACTCTTTTTGCGCGATGAATGTCCAATTTGAATTATTTATCGTAATCTATTAATGAAATAGGTCCTCTAAGAAATTTGTTGTCAAAATATTTTTTTTTTTCACATATCTTTGGTAAAAATACAATGAGTAACCACATACATAAGCCGAGTCATTTTAAGAAAAGCTCGTGAAATTTTTTATTACTGTCTAATGATAAGAAATAAATACAATAACAAATATAAGATAAATTACACTAATTTCTCTTGAGATTTGAAATATATATAGATATATATATATATATATCAAATTTCATAATTTTAGTTTAATTACACCTACTTTACTTTTAGTAAAATTAAAAGGACAAAAACTAATATAAATAGTATAAAAATATAAAATTAAACAACGTAAAATATGTTTTTTTTTTTTACATAATTAATGAATTACTAATGAAAATGAAACTGTTGGGTAAATTAAATGAGTAGAAACAAGAAGCCCATTGAATTGCCTAATTTTGACAGTCACATTGCTGTCTCTACTTTCGGGTACAAACTTCGCTTGCCTTTTGAGAATTCCCACAAAAATCACAAGCTATAATTGATGAATTGTTACATAGTGGCCCTGTTTGGTAGAGCTGTGAGAAAGTGCTTATAGCTTATACCTTAACAGCTTATAGTTTATAATTATGAACATAAGCTGATTTCTGACTTATAAATTAAGCTTCTCCTGCCCCACTCAAAGAATAAGCTGATTTCTGACTTACAAAAAGCTATAAGCTGCATTGTTAAGCTAAACCAAACACATCAAAATAACTTAAATTAAGCTGAAAGCTGAAATAAGCTGAAAAAAAGATGTACCAAACAGTGTGTCTCCAGAGTGTACTTAAATTTTTTATTAAATTTGAATAAAAATTTAATCTGATATGATGTGGTTTAATCGTTTCATTAAATTTGGCCGATTATTCGGTCGGTCATCCAATCTAGTATAAATTTTCATCAAATATTCCCTAATCTGATCATCCACGCAGTTAACTGGCTAGTCATCTACCCGGTCGTCTACCAACGTTTAATTGTGAAATTTGATGAAAGGTTAAACGCTCCTTTGATTTGATAAAAAAAAAAACGTATCACTTCCTTCATTTGATACCAATTTGGTAAAATAGTTAGAACACCGTTTTCATCAAATTTACATTTGATGATAAATATAGGAAAAATTAGTCTAAGATCTCTCTCCCATTTTTAGTAATAGAAGAGATCTACAATATTATTTTATGATCTCTAAAGTCTCTCAACTCCCACGCTCATATATCACAGAGAAATTTGACTCTCTGAAATCAAACCTCATTTTTTTCTCTCTTTCTCACTCTAAACTCTCTCAGCGTGCCCAGTTCATCAGATCGTCCACCTTTGAGATCACAAACTCCGTAGCCTTTGACATCCCTGCTGGAGACGTCGCCGAAGGCGATGACACAAGGGCGTAGGGCGTGGGATGCGACAGCTAAGCTGCCAACGACAGCAAGGTTGTGTAAATCGTTGCAGCCCTCTGTGATGCGATTCAAGGCGAGATTCGAAGCAAAAGGGCCATGGTGATTAGCTGCACACAGAGAGAGAGAGAGAGAGAGAGAGATTTTCCAGTACGCCCCGATGCCTTCAATACCATATCCTTGATCTACAAAACCAAATTCATTTCCCTAATTCACTTGGTACACATGTGTGTGTGCCTACACTCTTATTCTCTTTGTATCTACACTATCGCTCTCTTCATCACAGTTGAACTCAGATTAGGGAAAAATTCATGTAAATGCATGCAATTTGAATGTGGAATTACTGATTTTGTAAGCGGAGATCGAATTTATTTTATTAATGGCTTCATTGATTGTTGAATCACTCTGAATTGGATTGTTGAATCTCTCTTTATTATCTTCTATTTTAATTTTGAAAATTGAAGCTTTCTTCAGCTATCTATAGAGTCCCTTTTCTGCATTTTAATCTCTTGAAATGTAGACTGAATTATAGACATTAAGAATTTTTCTAGGTTCAAACCAAAGAAAATTGAACAATACAGAGAAAATTAAAATGTTCTACTCTCACCAACTTCCAGCCTGGAAAGCTCCCCTCGGATAGATATGGTGATTCAAATTTTGTTTTCCTTTTTATATTCTTCTCATAATTTAACTTGGTTTTCAATTTCTTCGTCTGTGAATTGTGTGTTTTTCTGCAACCTGTGTTTAGCTCATATTCACTATAATTTATGCGACTGAATAGGAATTGATTCTTGCTATGTTTTGTTTATATGAAATTTTCCTCCCATATTTGGTCATTTGAATCTGAATTATGTTTGTTTATGCAAATTTTCTCCTAATGCATTTGCAATTTCTATCAACTCTCTGTTTTCGTAATCTAATGAACATGGATCTAATTCAAGCTCTCTCTCTCTCTCTCTCTCTCTCTCTCTGTGTATGTGTGTAATCAAGGATGGCAGCGACAATGCATCTTTGGCATAATTTCTCTAGGAAGTCCAGAGAAATTGGAAGCCAGAGAAATTCTTTGGGAATTCCAGAATTTCTCTGATTTTGAGAGAATTTCTCTGAAAAGTCAATTTCTCTGGAGAGAATTTCTCTAGGAACTGGATCAAGATTGGACTGATGATGATGATAATGATCAAGTGGGGCTGAGCAGCACTACTAAAGCTAGATTACACAAGAAATCAAGTGTTGATTCAAATATGGAATTGATGAATGAGATGGAAAAGAACAGGCTTTTCTGGAAGGCTTGTTTAGCTTCTTAAGTATGTCATTTCTTTTTCTTTTTTTCTTTTCTTTCTTCCTTTATAGAATTGGGACTCAAAGCCACTTTTTGGCCAACCCATTTTCTCTTGAGAGAATTTATGTCCAGAGAAATTGTTTGGGATTTTGGCCATTGTGTAAATTTTCTCTGAGAAATTCTCTGGAAGGTCCAAAGAAATTCTCAGAAATTCTCTGGATCGATGTTGAGAGACCTTAGACATTATAAAAATATTAGATGTCCTTTATGCTATAAAATCTTAATACTAAAGACCTTAAAAAAATTCCCCATAAATATGAGTCTAGATTGAAGATGATTTTAAAAATAAAAAATCAAAAAAGTGATAGAGAGATAGAGACTCACAAATTAAACTCTTAAATTAACTTATAATAATGTAGTAGGGGAGATAGGTTCTACACAATTAGTGTGTGGAAAATTAAATGTTAATATTTTCATATCACATCATTATAGATTAAATTTTTTTTTTTTTTGTGAATTTTAAACATTTTCTATGTTAAAATGAACAATTAAATTTGAATTTACAGCAAAAGGGTCAAGTCAAAAGTTCGTCACCAATTTGTTTCAAATTCAAAACAAACCAACAATGATGACCATTGAGCCTAGTGTTTTACCAATTTGGCCATTCAAAATGGGCCTAAAATTTTGATTCCTTTGTGGCCATTTGAGGATCTTGATTGATAACCAACAAACCCCCTTAAAAGCGTGGAAACAACCCAACAGTATAAACTCTAATAAAAAGAAAAAAATTATTCGATATTCTTAAAAGGATTACGTGTTCATATTCAAG